AAATTGACGCTAAGTCTAGACATATATTTTAACAAGAAATACTGTTTACAAAGATACTTTTTAACTGATACTAGTTATTCAACTTTATTGGCATGCCATCTAATAGTTTAGTAATTCAAAAAGTGAGAATTCAATTTTTAGTCTACACTATAACTAAAGTAATATTTTACAACTATCGCCTTAATTAATTTGCACATATATTAGTTACAGGATATGTTTATTTTAAGTGTATATATATATATATAACATAATTAATTTGCTATATTTTCACACTTGGTATTAATTAACCTAAGTTTGGCCGGTTAACCGTATTTAATGGATCATATTGGGTGCTTTAATAACCTTTCCTATAAGATTATTAGAACTCTTACCTATAATTTCTAAGGTTAAGCAGACCATAAAACTATGTTAACTTTAAGCATTACTTAGCTAAAATTGGTGTCATAATTCACCGTTAAAATAATTAGGTGGCGACTCTTTTAAATTAATTAACCTCGGAATTATCAATATGTTATACTCTAATTTGACCCATGTTAAAATGGGGTATAACAGTGTGTGCCATGCTCCTGTACTCAGCTTCAGCTGAGCTTTTAGATACAATATGTTGTTTCTTAGCTTTCCAGGATATGGTTGAAGTTCCAGGCTTAGCACAGTATCCAGTAACATACTTTCTTGACATAGGACATGATGCCCAGTCTAAGTCACAGAATGCTTCTATTTCTTCATTGCTATCACTTGACATCAACAGCCCCAGCCCTGGTTGCTTCTTGATGTACCTTACCACATGAAGTGCTGCTTCATAGTGAGATTTCTTAGGTGCATGCATAAACTGCCTTAGTGATTGTACTGCATATGAGATGCCTGGCCTTGTTATTGTTAGATACAAAAGCTTCCCTATGAGCCTTTGATAACTCCCCCTATCTTCCAGTAACTCATCTCCTTTATTTGTGTCTGTGCAAATATCAAATTCAGTGCTTGTCAGCTTCAAGTTTTGCTCCATTGGTGTCTCTTTAGGCTTGGAACCCGCTAAGCTTGCATCTGATATCATCTCTAATGCATATTTTCTTTGTGTCATAAGGAAGCCTTCTTTTGCTCTAGCAAACTATATGCCTAAAAAGTATCTGACATCTCTAAGTTCTTTCATTTTAAAGTGTTGATACAGAGACTCTTGGGCACTTTTAATTTCCTGTAACAAGAAGATCATCTATATAGACCAAAACCAAAACAAATTTGTTATCCACATTTCTAGTAAATAAAGAATAGTCGTGCTTGCTTTGCTTGAAACCAGCGAAGGATACAGCTTGAGACAGCTTTAAATTCCATTTCCTAGAAGCTTGCTTGAGCCTATATAGGGATTTAAGTAGCCTACAAACCATATGCTCCCCATGACTACTAAATCCTTGAGGTAAAGTCATGTAGACTGTAGACTTCCTTTTCAAGGTCTCCATTCAGAAAAGCATTCCGGACATTCATTTGAAATATAGGCCAGTGATCTAGAGCAATAGTAGCAATAATAGCCCTCACATTAGTGAGCTTAGAAACAGGAGATAATGTGTCATGGAAGTCCAAACCTTCCTGTTGAGTGAAGCTTTTAGCAACCAATTTGGCCTTAAATCTTTCTATAGTACCATCTGCATTGTACTTTATTTTATACACGCATTTACATTCAATGGGTGTTCTATCAACATGTAAATCAACTACAGACCAAGTATTATTCTTTTCTAATGCTTTAATTTCAAGTTTCATAGCTGCAACCCATCTGTCATCCTTACTAGCCTGATGAAAAGATGAGGGTTCAACATTAGCAGAAAAGGAAGTAAGAAAGGCTTTGAAAGAAGGAGAGAGGTGAGTGTAGGAAACAAAATGTTGAATAGGATGAGATGTAGAAGAGGTGGATGGTAGAGGTGGATGAGCATAGTCAGTCAACCAAATAAGAGGCTTACTAGTCTACCTGACTTTCTAGGTGGAGGTAAGGCAGGTGAGATAGAAGAGCTAGGTTCAGCAGAGGTAACAGGATCCAAGGGAGAGGAATAGAGCAAGGTATCTGATGGGATTGACTATACAGCAGGGGATGTATTGGTAGTGGATAGAGGACTGTGAGGTTCTGAAGGTGAAGCTGGCAAGTTTTTGATTGGAGATGAAGGCAATGAAGGTGAGACTGGACCGTGATCCCGTGTTGGAGAAGGAGGAATACACTCAGAACTAGCTGCAGGCATGAGAATTGAGGAATCATTGTGTGATGAAGGAAATTTCTCTTTTTTACATCTAAAAGGAAAGACATTTTCTTTAAAGATAACATCTCGACTGACAAAGATTTTTCCAGAGTCAAGTTCATACAGTTTATACCCTTTCTGTGTAGAGGCATAACCTAGAAAAACAGCAGGAATGGATTTTGGTTGAAATTTGTCATGAGAGTCAAGTTTGGTAGAAAAACAAAGACATCATATTGTCCTTAGATTATCTAGTATAGGAGAACAACCATGAAAAATCTCATAAGGAGTCTTTCCATGTAGAACAGTGCTAGGCAGTCTGTTAATGATATAAGTGGCTGCTAGAATGCATTCGCCCAACAGTATCAAAGGTAATGCAGCTTGAAACCTCAAAGCCCTGCCTACTTCAAGTACTATGCTTCCTTTCTACCACCCCATTTTGTTGGGGAGTATAGACACAACTACTTTGATGAACAATTCCTTTGGTTAGAAATAGATTAGAACAAACAGAATTGAAGAATTCATAGCCATTATCAGACCTGAAAATCTTAACAGTAGAAGAAAATTGATTTTCTACCAAATGAAGAAAAATTGATAGAATCACATAGACATCACTTTTCAGTCTTAGGAGAAAGCTCCAAGTCATTCGTAAAAAATCATCAACAAGAGTTAGGAAATATCTATAACCATTGTAAGTGTTTACTCTATAAGGACCCCACACATCCATGTGAACAAGTTCAAATGAACATTTTGATCTTGAAATGCTAGTAGGGAAAGGTAGCCTAGTTTGTTTAGCTAATGGACAAACATGACAATTACAAGAGCTAGAATTAGACAACAATGTCTTTATTGTAGGTATCTTCTTAAGAACTGAATGAGGAGCATGGCCAAGTCTTTGATGCCACAACATAGTTGAGGAGGCAGACTGGTTAGTGATCATGCAGGTGGAAGTGAGAGGTGCAACAGGCTTTGAAGGATTGAGGATGTAGAGTCCATCCTTGAGGCTACCAATCCCCCTCACCTTGCCACTGAAGAGGTCCTGAAAGAGACAAAAATCAGGATAAAAAGAGACTATACAATTTAACTCTTTGGTATCTCTGGACACAAACAACAAATTATACTTAAACTTGGGGACATAAAGCACATCATGTAGTGTTTGGTTGTTAAACAGGACACATGACCCTGTATATGTGATCTGAGTACTTTGTCCATTTGGTAAATGAACTGAAGTAGATTTTGAATGAGGAACGGACTTAGGATTGGATAATAGATCTAAGGATGAAGCTATATGATTTGAGCACCAGTATCAATGATCCACTTCATTTGATCAGTATTTGAATTACCTGCCATATTAGCTACATCTACGGGTGTTTGTTCTTTTGCTGGTCCCTTTTCCCTGCTCAACATTGAGTATCTGTTGGTACTGCTCAGGTGTGAAGATTGGAGCTGCTGCATTGATCATGCCATTTATCACTCCAGTTCCATCAGTTCCTGTGTATTTAGTCTCTTCCATTGTACTCACATTGTGTGCCACAGGGAATGAGAAACATATTTTCTGTTACTGCACTAAGGAAAAAAACAGTTGTACCTCCCTATTTATCTTAACCAACATAAGCTGAATTTAACAACTAACTTCTAGAAGAGTACAACATAAATACAACAATGTACAATCATTTACAACTTTTTATTTCAACACATATAACTATAAAAGTTAAATTTTTTCGGAACCAATTTTTATGTTATATTATAATATATATTCTCTATAACAACATTTCGCTATAACATCCAAAAATATTCGGAACAAACGAGGCTGTTATAGAGAAGTTTGACCGTATAGGAAGAGTCAAGATCACAATTCACAAGCATTGCACAAAGTGAGATTCACATTTCCTATTCTTCCTAGATTATTTTACCATTATAATTAATTACCTTTCTATAAATTAAGATCTTGTCAGCAAAAATAGAAATAAATATGCACCTAGAATACGAAAAGCTTGAAGACACGTGTTCACGGAAAAGAAATGTCAAAGGTAACAATTGTTTGTTCTAAATCTTTTTTCCACTCGGTGCCTGCTACGTGTATTAGAGCCCGACAATTTTTGGATTCGTGTTGCATAGGGCCTCATTCGGGGAGAAGTGCTCCCTATAAATATTTTTTTCATACCCAGAGCTCGAACCCGAAATCTCTGGTTAAGGAAAGAGCAGCCCCATCAGCTGCACCACATCCTTTGATGGTGTTCTTTTTTAATCTTATAAGGAACGCTTATGAACTCCAAATATAATCTCCTCAAGAGAGGCCATTAAGCTAGCGTTTGGTTAAAGATTCCCAAATTTGTTTTGAAAAATCTGATTTGGATGAAGTTTGGTTTGAAGATGAAAATGTGTTTGGACATACATTTTCAACAGATATTTCCCAAATTTATTTTGGAAAACCATGTATATTATTTAGTGTTTGTAAAGATTTTGGCCCAACTGGTTTTGAGATTTGGGATTTTGCCAAAATATAGGCAAAATCTATGGCCAAATATGTATTTGCCTAATAAAAACCAAGTTTATTTTGACAAAATCTATAGCCAAACGGGTCCTAAATCAGACGTACCTCAGTAATTAATGGCATCTTATTTACCTTTGAGTTTCTACATGCCAAGTCATTACCAAATTAAAGTTCCTAGTCCACAAATATGTTCGATTTTTTAAGCAAAATATATGTTTTGACTAGATTTGACTCCATATAATTTTGTTTTCCTGTCACAAACACAATTGCAGGGTAAGACTGTTAGCAGTACAAGTAGCAAATAAATACGATATCCACCAACTAAAACTTAAAAAAAAAAAAAAACACACACACACACACACAAGAATCGGCCAGAAAAGCAACGGTGGCAATAGATCTTTTACTTTTCTCATGCTAGAGATGATTGCAATCATTACTCTATGTAATTAATAAGGAATAACTATTGAAGCATTTGAGATTAAGATCTTATTTACTATTGTCAACTTGACCATTGAACTTTTGAATGATGCCAATGTAGAACTTTCCTTTACTATCTTATGTTATTTCCAAATTTAGAAGTTCTAACAAATATAGTAGTTAAGTGTATATAATAAGCCTTGAAAGTTCATTATATGGCCTGTTATCACCTCATACTGGTTTCTTTTGAGTAAATAATTCAGTATTCAACTAAGTGCACCATTCAATTTTTTTAGAATATGTGTGCGCATCCGATAATATTAGACTAATTCTAGAAATAATACATAAAATGCGTAATTTGGCAAAGAAACCATGGGTTCATGTGTCCTATAATTGCTCCGATTACTTAAGTGTAAATGAAATAGAATGTTTAAGAAAAAGAAAAGGGATAGTTTAGATAAATACTTTTATAATTAAAGCAATTAAATGTTAAAAAGTTTAAAAAGGCCGATAACATAATAAAACAAAAGCTTAAATGTATGATCAGCCACTCAGCAGCACGTTTGGACTAGCTGTATAGTACATTTTTTTATTAAATTTCCAAGAAGCACTAGCTTTATATTGTTTAAAATTTTTAAAATCAACCATACAGATGCAAACAAAACATTGCCCACAAGATAAAACGTGTTTTTCGTTCTTGAATATAATTATCGTCTGGAAAAAAAAAATTCCCCGCGCAAAATTATAAAATAATGTATTGGAAATAGCATCTAACTTTCCTTAGTACCCAATGGTGGAACCATGTTAGGCTACTAACTTCCACTCAAAGACCCCAAAGTTTGACCATATGAAAAGAATTAATTCCACAAATTCGACAACTCACTCTTCAAATAACTACAAAATCATTACACTATATATACACATATC